ATTTTGCCGATGACTCCAACCCTTGAGCCGCTTGTTAATGATGTGAGTTCTCCTATTTCTTTCATAGTTTTTTTCTGCCATCAAAGGGACTGAGCAGAACACTACCTGTGCACTTGTCCTATCAACCACTTGACCCAGTGCCCTAAACTCCCTTTTAATCGCCTTGACACTCCTCTTTTCAATCTTATCACTGCCAGACTGGAGTATCAGCAGTGGGTAATAATCAGAGGACTGAATCAGCTTAGGAAGTCTCTCAGTGATATTTCATACCCGGGCCCCAGGGAGGCAGCAGACTTCCCTTTGGAATGGGTCCAGTCGACATACAGAGCCCTCTGTTCCCCTCAGAAGGGAATCACCCACTACGATTACCCTTCTTTTCTTCTTGATGTTAGAGGTGGTAATTAGTTTTTTAGATGAGTCATAATTAGCTCACTGGGCAGATAATTTTCTTTTAAATAATCGGGCTGGCTCCCTAGATCCAGGGCCTCATACCTATTCTGAAGTGGCCCCTGGCTAGGGGATGGGGGGCAAAAGGGATTTTTGTTATTACCTCCCCAAGCAGGGATGTATTTCCACTCCCCTTCATCTACCAGGTGCCCCTCTATTGTCTGAGAGTGAGAGGCATATGAGCCCTCTGACTCTTGGTGGGCCTCCCTTAGAGATGTAAGGGCTGAACTCAACCAGTCTATTTCCCTTTTACTATCCCTGATACTCCTTAATCTTTCAACTTCCTCCCTAAGCTTGGCCACTAGCAAAAGGAGGTCATTCACCTGTTCACACCTTAGGCAGGCCTCCTCCACAACACCCCCTGGAGCCATTAATAAGCTGAAACACTCCACACAGGAATGGGTCTGTACAGGCGCATCCTTTTTGGGGGGCTCCACTTGGTCACATAGACTTGTACCAACCACAGATTTCGACCGGGTTAAAACCATTGCTAGGAAAAAGCCTAAAATCAAGCAACCAATAAAAACACCTCACCTTACTAGCAAGAACCTGCAACCTTGCCTGCTTGCCCTGCCTGCGTGAACTGCTACGAAAACTGCTGTGTTTGCCTGCTCCTGTTCACCGTGCTCCCCAGAGGCCTCTTATAATTAGTCACTTTGGAAAGAAGGAAGCTCCACTTCCTGCTCCTGAATGGCTCACAATGCAATAGGCTACAGAGCTACAAATATATGTGTGAATACAGAGAACATATAAAAGAAAAAAGGCAAAAACCAACCAACATAATGATGAGCTTTTTTTATAAAATGTAAACAGTTATGGAAAGAATTTGGGGTTTTTCCCTAAATAGGGAAGTGTAGATGAGAAATCTTAGGCTTTTTTAAATACAAGTTAAAAGTAGCCATACTGTCACTGAAAACCAGGAAATAAACTCTCCCACCAGTTTGTTAAGTAAGAAAGTTGGCAGTGCTTTATTCAGCGCTGAGGTACATGGGGAATCAATCCACCTGTAATATACACCAAGTATAAAAACTTCTAACTATTTATACATTTTAGCAAACAAAGGAATTACTGTTCCTTGGCTACAAGTTACATAGTTCTCCTACTAATTAGAATTCTATCCTCTATTGGTTAATGATTTCTTGCTTCTCATGCAAATTAGTCCACATTTTCAGTCTTTTTATGGTCTTTTTCCCAGATAGGGAGAGTTTCAATACAATTTCTGAATTGTTTTTGTTAGTTTCTTCCTTATCTCTGGTTTCTGCAAAATGTCCTTGTAGTCTATAAATTCTGCATTCCTGGTGTCCAGTTCTCAGCAATGTATCTTTCTCCCAGGCTTTAACTTCCTCTCCCAAGTCTGAGAGCACCCAAAGCATGTAAAGTACTAACTTTAATAGTAATTATTTTAAATTTAAATTTTAATTAATTTAAAGAGGGCTATAACAACTAACTTTAATTTTAATAAACTTTCATTAACTTTAATTGTTTTTCTAATACATGGACATCACCCAGAGTCACTATCTGTTTCACAGATTAAATCTCCCCTCTTGTTGATTAGGTCCCAAAATTTTCCCCCACTACTGCATAGACTCATTTTTAAAGAAATATAACTTGTTAGGTAACAATACCAAGATTATTTAAAGAGAAATCTCCTTTCAAGTGGGGAATAAATATGTGTGTTTTGTATATTGGTGCTTTTTATATATTTCCTTTTCACAGGTTTTTCCTCTGTTTTAGAGCAAAGAAATATTTAAACTATTTGCAAGGTGATGCTGCAAACCTGGGTCTGTTCAACAACTGCACTGCTTGATCTCCCTTTTAATCTAGTTTTTTGCAACTGAAGATTTATCAGCATGTGTTACATGTAGCTGACTGAATTTAAACCCCCTTAAAACTAACATAGTAAAGATGGAAGCACTCACAGAAGGGCAAGTTTCTCATTCCTTAGGTTTTGTACTGTCTTGGACTTGATTCCTGTCTTCTGAGAAAGTCTTATGGTTCCTGTGGAAGGTAGAAGAGTTCTTTTACATCTTCAAAGACAGTTTATTATTAATCTAAAAAAAATATATGGACAATAGCGCAATGTTCACAGATGTAGGCTCTGATGTTGAAGGCAGTTGAGGAAGTTGATGAGCTGAAAGACTTTTGTTTTTACTTTCATAGCAACTAGTAGACAAAACATCCCTCTGACCCTCTCAATCTTCTGGTTGTATTTTCATTGAATAAAGATTCTAGCATTCTATGCAACCGCTTAAAAGATTCACTTAGATGGCAGAGATGCAATTTTGAAATAAAGGCTTAAATCAATACAATCAATGCTTCTATACATCTAAAGAGTTGTTGCTATCTTTGCTTTTCATGTTCTCAGGACTTCTCTGAAAGCAAATTTTTACAAATCCGACCATGTAATTTTCCTTCCCTGCCAGTATCCTTCTTTTAGTATTGGCTACAAATGTAATATGATCTGGGATTTAAAAGTGATAGTGTGATGCAATTCATTTTCTAACATCTCAAAACCTAACAGAGATAGAGATTACACAGTTGTGACAAGCCCAAAAACAAAATGTCAAGTTAACTGTTATGTTAGGGTTGCAGTTTGGAGACAGGTACACAACTGAACACACTGAGATCATGCAACAACACCCAAGATTTATTGATGGTTGCCCTCTTTTATAGGGGTTTCAAAATTCCTGGGCTTGAACAACTAACTGATTGGTCGATGTTTCAGCACCACCCAGTTCCCTGACAAATGATGTCTGCATTCTGGATTGAATGGGATTGGCTGGGGTCCCCTGTTTGAGTTCAAATCCAACCTATCATTGCCTCACCTAGGGCCTTGTTTACTTCTAGGCTATAACAAACTAGGCTAGCCAAATTGTGTTACTTATTATGGCCAAATTTGTACAGCTTCAGACAGGCTGTGACAGTTAACTTCAGTCTTGGGCATGATTAAAATGCTTTACATCTGAGTATGATGATGCACTACCATTTTTTCCCCTGACAGTCTAGATAAGTGCTTTTCAAACTTTTCAGTTAGAATACCTCTTAAAAATATCCAGTGAAGTTGCAGGTTTCTTCAGAAACATGTAGATTGTTAGATACTGCAAGAGCTTGTTTTATTTTTGTCAGACTTTAAAAAGGGCAATAAGGGCTGATCTCAGCTACAAAATTTTAGTTAGAACAGCCTGTGGCCAAAGCACTGCCTGTTGTAAATCCAGTCACTTCATTTGGCACTAAGCTAATTCAGGTAGAATTGCTTTGAATTGACTGTGTGCTGATGATGTTGACTATTGTAAAAATGCTCCTTCAGGAGCACCACAATTTTACACAGCTGTAACTTATTTATGTTAATGCCTTTAGTGCTTAAAGACTTTGGATTTGCTTGGGAATTATTTTTTATTCTGTCCTAGTTTAGGGCAAATTTGGGGAAAACCCTCTGGAAGGAGCCCCCAGAAAACAAACCCCCACGGCCCCTCCCCACCCACCTGGTTCGGGAAAAAATTTCCTCTGAGAGAAGTGGAAAAGAACCTGTTTATTCAACGAACAAAGCACTCCCCAGCACCAAAAAAAAAAAAAAAATTTAACAACACCAGATGACAACAAAACTCTTTCACCACTCTGAAGAGATGAACAAATCCAGAAAGTCTTTCCTGGGAGTGGTCGCCCGGGTCTGGGGATTGCTCTGGGCACTGGGACTGGCTGCTGCAGATCACAAAATGCAGGCTTCCGGTGTTCCTTGGTGTCTCCCAGATCCCAGTCCGGAGCAGGTTGGATGATATTCAGGAAGAGGAAAGGAAAAGAAACAGTCCAGGGAAAGAATTGGACTGCTTAGCTAAACTAACTAGGAAGCAAAGGCAAAAGCAGAAGCAAGCAAAGCCAGCCAGCCCTAGCCTTTTCTAGACAGCAGACCATGGGGGGAGGTGAACCGGCTGATAACAAGGCAAAACAAACCTTCACTTTCAGAGTCAGTTCTGAAAGCACAGAACATAATATCAAACATAAACAGAACACACGATTGGAGATACAAACATCATAACGTCACCCTAGGACATTTTCTTTATTCTTTGTTTAGCTTTGTAGAGCCATCACATCTCAAAGGCACTGAAGTGAATGATTTTCCTCATGTTCATCAATAGCAGTGCTCATTACCAGTAACTTAAACCTGAGCAAGATTGCTGAAGGTACAGAAGTCACACAGGTGTTCTGGGGAGAGTGGTTTTAACATTGCAGTTTATGAAATTATTATGCTAAGTGTAATTTTGTTTGTAAAAGCATTCTAGAATAACTGCTGAGGCAGGAGGAAGAAATGCATCTTGATTTTAATGTTTTATTACGAAATATTGTTTGTTTAAATACCTTTTCATAGATTGTCATTTATAAGTGCTTAAGGCTATTTAGGAGAAATTTAGGTCTATTTTAAAGAACCTTTTAAGTCAAGACATCCAAAATGGGACAATGCACAAATCCAAAACCCTTTGCAGTACTCATTTGCCCTGGACCCACAAACCTCTTTTCTTTATATAGAACATAATGATTTATCTTGTTGCTGTTTGCAGGTGCACCTGACCCAACAGCAGGTGCTAGCATAGATGATGAAAACTGCTGGCATTTGGATGAGGAACAGGTCCAAGAACAGGTTAAACTCTTTCTCTCCCAGGGTGGATACCATGGATCAGGGAAGCAACTCAATTTGCTTTTTGCAAAGGTATGTTGAGTTCTAGGACTTCCCTCTTTTCTCTCCCCCCACTCCCCCATCCAGTCTGTACTTGTTCAGGTTTTACTCAAAGTCCTGTTGTTCTAAAACAAGACAAAGCCCTGGGAACATGATAGCAAGTTAATAATGCAATGGGATGCAATCTGGTGTGTCTTGATATTAGTTTAAGGATATGAAGGAGCATTTCAACTGTCTACAGCTTTGCTGTTCTCTTCCTTCCTACCCTCAAAATGTTGGAGAGACCTGTAAAAATCATGGTCTTGCAGCAGTTTGCATAATACACCTGTGGATTACTTGTGGAAGAAGTGTATTTGCAGAATTGCAATGGCATACTGAAACTAAAAATTGATAAAACCTGGAAGGCAGATTATTTTTTTCTACTTAAAATTTCACATCAAATACATAAATTATATTTCTTATTTAACAGAGGTGGAATGTTTAACACTTCAGCATATTGTCTGTACTGTGGTTTGTTTTGGGGTTTTTTCAAGTTTATATTAAAAGAATAATTTCCTAGGTGCGAGAGATGCTGAAGATGAGAGATTCAAATGGAGCTCGCATGTTGACGTTGATAACAGAACAGTTCATGGCTGACCCTCGTCTATCACTTTGGACACAACAAGGAACTGCAATGACTGACAAGTATAGGCAACTCTGGGATGAACTGGGTAAATGCATAGACTTCAAAATCATTTAGGTGTTCATGTGTATAATGAAGAAACAATTACATATTTGGGGTGTAAACTTATTGTGGTACTAGGTAAAGCAAGTTAGAATTTTCTTCACGTTTGCTTGTTCAGTTAAGGTTGGATGAAATTGAATTTCTGATCTACTATATGAGACAATTACAGTTGGAGGAGAGAAAGCATACTATGAAACAAGTATGATTGTAACAGGTTTTAAGTACCTGAGGAACTATAAAAAGAATAAAACAAAAAATGGAAATGTAGCTACACAGCTGAGGGTAAGTATAGAAGCCACTAGAGATAAACTGGAAAGCTTAAGGAAGAAATTGATTAAAAACTAGAGAGAAATAGAAGGCAAAAGAAAAGATTCATAAAGAGTATGAGAAAATAGCAACAAAGGAAAGCAGAAGTCCCTTACAGAGTAGGAAAGGAGATCAAGTAACAGAGGGGTATAACAACTAACACTGCTTTACAGGAAAGGTCAGTTGTGACCAGATATAACATGTACTATGGAGAGAAGAACACATACTAGAATGGGGAAGGAATTATTTAAACTATTAAAGTCTAAAGACACTTGCTTTAAAGCGTTAAAGAATCTCACTGAGAGAGTTTGGAACTGCTGCTTCAGAAGTTCTCAAAATCTATAGAAATTTGTGGTAGGAAAGGGACGTTAAAAACAACTTGAAGGTAAATGTCACCAAGATTTTAAAGGTAGGTAGGTGAGTGGAAAGAATAACATTAAGTAACCACCAGCATTGTTTTCTTAGATTTAAAGTACTGCAACAAACCACTAACCAGTTGGTATGTAAGCATATAGAAAATAAAAGCGATTATTTTTAATACAGTAGTAAATCTAATTTGTTTCCCTAAAAGATAATTCACTGAGTATATGAGTGAAGGAATTAATGTGTATATCTTAGCTGTAGTAAAGTTTTGGATGCTGTCTTGGAGGCTTTCTCAAAGCAAATTGAAAAGATGCAGCCTAAATTAAATTGCCTTGTGATTCATGGATCTTGGAGTAGTTACGTGTGCTGTCATTCAATCTGGAAAGGCACTTCAAGTCTAGACTTACAGGAATCTGTCTTGAGATGTGTTCTGGTCAATATTGCTTTTCCTGACTTATGTGGCATGAAATATTAAAATAAATATATATACATATAAAAGCAAATCAACAAAACCAAACAAAAACCCCAAAACAAAGAAACAAAACCCAACCAAAAAAAAATCCCCAAACAACTCAAAACTTACTAAAGACGTCCCTTGGGACAATATGTAAACACTGTGGAGAACAAAGCCAAATCCATAATGCTCTTGGTACATTTTAAAGGTCCAAAATCAAGCCAAATGTTGCAGAAAATAAAGCCCTTTTTGTTCCAGCTGGTCCTCAGAGGGACTGAGTGCAGTTTGACTTAGTTTCTGATTAGAACCACTACAGTTCCTTGTCGATTTAATTCCTTTAGTCCCCCATGAGTTGCATTAGCCAATGTTTATATTTGTCCAGTACAATTATATAACATCATTCAATTCTGGAATGCTGTCAACTGGGGTGTGAAAATTGACTCCAGTACCCATCCCACCACAGTTCCAGCTATCCAGTGTTGCCATTAGCTTTCTGATTCCCTTTTTATTTGTCCCCACAGAGCCAGTGAAAGAGGTTGCTTCGTCCAAAGGGGGCAAAGTGTTAATAGTACCAGCATGTGTTGCCATTGCCAGCCCTCTATTAGTAAGTCAGTAGACTGTGTTCCATCACTGCTAAGCCACATGGTGTGCCCCTAATGCTTTTTGTCTCTTCGAGCCTGGTCTTATAAGCTCTCAGAGGTAAGCATTATACCCTTGATAGCTCAGCTACCTCAGAGGGCATAAAAGAAGCAGGATGGCTCCTGTGACAGTGTTGGAAACAAAAGTTTTAATAAAAGGCAAAAATAAAAAAAGCTCTTTACAGAGAAAAGCCAAGTCAGGGCAAGAGGTTCTTGCTCCTGCTAAACCACTTCACAAAAGAGATTAACTTCTTTTGTTCTCTTCTTTTCTAGGGAATTGCTTAGTTGGGACTTTTTGGCTTCTGTCCAATTAGCTATCCTTAAGTTGGAGGTGAAGTCTCTAAGGTCCTACGAGGTGTCTTTTAACCAAATTGAGTAGAGAAACTTCTGGGTTTTTTCCTTTTTAAGGGGACAAAGGGTAATTTGTTTACTCTGTCAACAGGGGGCACATTCCTCAGTTTGCCAAGTCAGATTTGTGTGATTTTTCCACATAACCTCCCAAGTTTTAGTCAAACCCATAGTGAAATTCCCCAAGTTACTAGTGAGTTGGCAGATGGAGAAAAGGTAAATGTGGTGATTTGACTAATGTTATGTGTATGTCCAAAAACTTGGATTAACTGCAATGTAAGATTTCAAGCAATCCCTGAACTTCTGTCTAGTGACAGTAAGAATAATAAAGAGCATTTTACCTACATTATTATTCTAATTTCATTTTCAAAATTATCACCAAAACCACAACTAGTCCTTGCAGGCACTAGCTCTGTATATGACTGCTTCATTCCACATGCCATTCATTCTGTTAAGAAAAAAAGTGGACAGATACTCTATCTTGTTGTTAACTGGCAAGGTTAGGTCAAATTGAGGGTATAATCCACCCATTATCACTCACACTAGAAGGCTTGCAAGCATTAACAAGATCCAAGTATCTCAGTTCAGTATCATTGAAAGAATGGAAGCTAAACTCCAGTGGTCTTTCTGGCCTTCGTGGTCCCTTTTGCCAAAGGTTACAATGAGAGCAATGCTCACTGAACCCCCATTCTACATGGATTGGATCAGTCAGGTGTATAAGGCCAAGCTGTTGGAACAGCCTCAGCCCCTCTTATTAACAATTCTAATACATTTGGGTGCTGTTCCATCCATTCCCATGATTTTCCTTTTCTGAGCAGATTGTATAAGGGATGGGCAATAATAGAAAACCTAGGAATATGTTTACGCCAGTAGCCTAAAGTTCCCAGAACTTCTTTACAAAAGATGAATTCTGCCTGTGCTCCATTTTTTTCAGGGTGTCCATAGGAACAAAAATGGCTCCTTTAATCCACCAGACTCCTAAGAATTTAACTTCTTGTGCTGACCCTTGGCATTTTGATTCCAGAACTTCCAATCCCAATTCAATTAGTGCTTCATGAATGTTTTTCATTGTGTCTTTTATACTTTCTTGATCATCTCCCCCTATTAGGTTGTCATCAATATAATGATATCATGTAATATCAGGAATCTCTACTAAGACCTTAGCCAAGGCATTGTGAGAAATAGCGACGGAATGTTTATATCATTGTGAAAGTGTATTGGATTCCCCTCCATGTAAAGGCAAACTGTGCTTTATCCTGTTCAAGGAGGGGAATAATTAAAAATATGTCCTTAACACTGAGGGCAGCCATCTAAGCATGAGCAGCCCCCAGTAGCAGTGTCACTATCTAGACAATGTTTGGAACTGCAGCAGTTAGAGGTGCAGTATTAGCAGTTAACTGTCAATATACGGTGAAATGCCAGTGCCAGGTCAGTTTCTTTACTGGCCACACCAGTCAATTATAAAGCAAATGAGTCTTTTTAATGATGCCTCTTTTTTTTTCCAAATCTGTCACTACCTCATCAATCCCCATAAGTGCTGCTGTTGGCAGGGAGTACTGTTTTACATAAGTAAATTTAGAAGGCAGCAATGGTATGATGGCCATAATGAATTGATAAAATTTTCCAAGCCTGAATCATCCCACTTTCTTTCAGATTCTATTTGTATTCCCAGCAACCCAGTGCCTTCCACTGCAAAGCTCTACAGAGTTTCATCTGGGAGTTTCCAGATTTGCCCATAAAGTAAATCAGATCCTAAAAGTTTTCGTTGGGCAGCCCCCACAAGCACTTCAACCTTAGTAAATTGTTTTTCCCCCAGGAGCCAGATGAAAATTTTTGCTGTTGGACATTCCTTTATTATATCATCAATTCTGGTAAAATTTTTATGGTCACTGGGTATAATTTCCAAAACATTTGCTGCTTCCTTTGTAATCACTGATATTTGGGTCCCTGTGTTAATTAGAAATTCAAACATATTTTTTCACGGTCTGACTAGAATATCAATAGAAGTTTCAGGGTATTTGCCTTGGAGCCGCTGTACTGCTAATACCCACCAAGCAGTCTCAGGAGCTTTAACAATAGTTATCTGACCCATCCTGTCCAGCATCCATAATTCACTATTTCCTGCACAAATTCACTCTAGGTAGCTAAATGCATCATCTACATCCAGCCCCCTGGATGCCCAGGAACTGTGGCATTTTGGCCATGAATCTGCTGCATTTCATCCTGAAAGTTTGAAGTTTGCTACAAAAGTCTTCAGACTGTTTGGAAGACCCAGAATAAGATGGGTTAATCTGGCTGAATTGATAGGGACTAACATAGGAGACTTTCTAAGCCTGTCCCTCATACATAGTCTGTATACAAACTGCTTTCTGCACAGAAGCTGCGAGATCAGAGAATTGAGCAGTTTTAATAACCAGTGGATCTCCCCTATCCTTCAGATCTATTCCTCCTGCCCAATATACCACCTGTGCAGTTAAAGAATAATCATGATCTCTGGGAGTGGTGGTTAAAAACATGCCAGGACTCCAATAGCTTCCCGCCAGGACTCCAATAGCTTCCCGCTTCTTCCTCACTTGATAAAATCTAATCCCCTCTTGTCAGAGAGACTCACCACACATATTCCATTTTGGAGAGGGTGATCAGCTCATTAGCAGTTCTATTTTTTTTTTCCTTTCAGATATTTTTCTTGTTTTTCTACTGAATGCAATTCAGTTTTCAAGTTTCCAGTTTCCACCAAAAGGGAGTCTATGAAAATTTCCTTTTTTTGTCCTCCAATTCCTTTTTCAAAGACCAATAATGCTTTTAGTAGATTGTTTTCAAGTTGAATCACTGCATATACCACATTTGGAATTTTTTTGGATGGCAAGGATTCTTTAG